AGAGAGAGAGAGAGAGAGAGAGAGAGAGAGAGAGAGAGAGAGAGAAGGTCCGGCTCACATTGATACGGCCGACAACATGAAATGGACGTGGAGAAAGTAAGTCTCGGCGGCGATTTTTTTAGCCCCCTCCTCCCCCCTCCCCCTGCGTGCGCGTGCTAGAACAACAACTGGTCGGACTGGTGCAGTACCGCCCCCCCCCGCCTTCCTCCTCACTCGCGTGGGGCCGCTTCCACAATGAGAGCGTCACCACCACGCACGCCGCCGTCGCGATAATTAGCGCGATCACTTTCTATCCTTTCACATTCTGGCTCCATAGGCGGCCATAAGGCGCCACACGGACGGCGTGACCGCGCGCTTCTTATTGCCGCCACAATGGCTCATGTCTCATGGGGCCCCTTCCCTTATCCCTCTCCCATCTGGTCGGCGGACGTGTGCCGGCGGGGAGGAGGAGCCACGAGCCGTGACCGGTCACTGCGACCGCTCGCTGCGGCAGCACTGCGGCAGCACTGCGGCAGCTGGTGTGCTTTCTAGCTGTGGATTATGACTCACGATCTGTTTATTCCACTTTCCTGCCACTTCGTCGGACCGCTTCTTGTTGTCCCTCTCGCCGTGGCCAGCCGCGCGAAATCCCGCGCGCTGCTGCTGCTGTTTTTCCTGAGAATCGCGCCTCAACTCGCCTGAGACACGGTGATGGCTTCACGGGATGCCGCCGCAAACGAGGCGTCCCTAAACAGGGCGCAGTCTGCCCGTCTCTCTCTGTCTCTCTCCCTCTCGTACGCTCTCGCACCTCTCTCCCTGTTTGGTTTGTCGCCTCACGCGACAAGCGTGTGGCAGCCGCGTGCATATGTGTGTGTGTGTGTGTGTGTGTGTGTGTGTGTGTGTGTGACCCAGTCGCGCCGGAGACCTCCACGCACGGCCGGACGCTAGATTAAGTAGTCCACGGAAGTAGTCCTCCCCGCATCGCACTGCCGCGGGCCGCCGCGGGACGGCTCGAGAGATGTGCCGTTAATGCCCAGGCGATTAGTCGTAAAACGATAGTCTGCATTGGTGGAAGTGGGCCGGGCCCAGGGCCGGGCTGCTGGGGCTGGGTCCCCCCCCCCCCCCCTCGCTCCCTGCGCGGCGCTGATGTACCCGCTCTCTTGGCCGGCGTCGCGGGGAGTGTTGCGGTGGGACTGGCGCGGCTGGTCCGGACCCGGCGGTGACCGACACTTTTAACGACCCGATCGTCCTCCAGCTCTCTAACCGCGCCCGTTTGCCCTTATGTGTTACAGCCCGTGGCAAGAAGAAGAAGCTGAAGATGCTCCTGCCCCTGCTGCTCCTGCTCAAGCTCAAGGCCGCCGCCCTCATCCCCCTGGCCCTCGGCGCCCTCGCCCTCCTCGCCTTCAAGGCCCTCATCGTCGGCAAGCTCGCCCTCGTCCTCTCCGGCATCATCGCCCTGAAGAAGCTGCTGTCGCAGCAGAAGCACACCCAGAGCTACGAGGTGGTCGCGCACCCGCACTACAGCCACAGCCACTCCAGCTACGGCGGCGGCGACGAGCACGGTGGCCACTACGCGCGCTCCCTCAAGGTTGAACAGCCCGCCCAGGACCTCGCCTACAGCGCGTACAAGAAGGAGTAAGGTGCCGTACCGGGCCACCCGCGGCGGTCCTCACCAGGGGCCGTCCGCGAGCGACCTCCCCCTCCCCCCCTTACCCACCAGGTAATTTATTGACCCTCCCCCCTCCCGCGTCGACCCGACTGTCAACCCCTGCTTGCCGCACCCTTGGGCAAGCGGCGGCGTTTACCGTCCCGCCGACCCCAGCCTCCCCCAAAGAACGACCTCCCGTATTTATGTGTAGCTGCGCAGGCGCGGTCGGGCCTGTGTTGTTTGTCGTGTTAGGAAGACCGTTCTGGACCGCTGGAAGCAAGGACTGATTATTTAAAAACAAAGAGAGGCCGTGTTTTCGGATCTCGAGGGCCTTGTGGTGTAGTGGCTTTTTGTTCTCTCTTCGTGTAGGCTTGCTCTCTCTCTATTCCCCTCACGCCCGCCCCGCTCACTTCTCTCGCTTGCCGCCTTTCGCTCGCGCTTCGCGTGTTATTCCTTGTAATAAGACGATGAGACTCGACTACCCTCCTTCACGGATGCTACTTTTTCATCTTGTACATACTCGCGATGACATACTTACTCACGTGACCCTACCTCTCTCTTTCTCTCTCTCCCTTGACGAAGACGACGACGACATATGACAAACGTGGCGTGAAAGACGTTATAGTACTTGCATCAAACTGCAACTCCATGACGACTGACACGACGTTTTTACGATGTACCGTCTCGTCTCTCGGAATGGAGGATATAGCTTTAACATAACTTTCTCAGGGCTCCATTTCCCATGAGAGGCGGCCGGTGCAGGACTCGACCAAAACGTCTAGCTGCTCTCTCCCTTCCCAGGCCGGGTCCACCGCCTAGTCACACCGAGGCCTCGCGTCTCTGCGGGGTTTTGGGGTAAACGGCCCAGCCTGAGCTTGAGCTTCCCTGCATTAGATCAGCCTGTCTCAACGGCGGGCTGATAGTGTTTCACCCTTTCGAGCGCGCTCTCTCTATCGCTCTCTCGCTTCGCACCTCTTCCCCGCGTTTTCGCTTCCCCTCATCTTCATTTGAAAGGCGAAGGGAAGGAAAAATATTTCGATAAAAGCCATCAATTAAAGTCAGCTGACCCGCTGACCTAAAATCCTGGCCACTCCATACGCTCAGCCTGCTTGCGCATAATCCTCTTTGAGGTCTGGTGCACTGCCGCCCTGACCTTTCGCAGCTCTCTCTCTCCCTTTCCCCTAAGCATTCTAGACTAGTTCGGTCGCCGCATGGGAGTGGTCTTTTTAGAGAAAGAAGGAAAAACTGGTCTCTCTTGTCCTCGTATAAAGTAATATGCTTCCAGCTGGTCATTGTGTCACTGAACGGACACTCATTGTGTGAGGTGCCATGCACTTTAATTTAAAAATGGAAACTAAATTAT